CGAGTGCACCATCTCGCAGAAGGAGGCGGCGGGGCGAGTGAGGCAAAGCTCTCCTCACTACGCAGAAATCCGCCACCGCCGAGCAGGGGGTCGGGACCGGGGTCTCGTCCGTAACCCGGCCCCCTAAGAGCTTCGGGCTCCACCCTTTTTGTGCGGGAAGGAGACTAGGCGTGGGGAGGCGTGGTAAGCCGCGTTCCCCCGACCGCTCCGGGAAGGTGTAGCGCGGCGCCATCAATGCCGGCTCTTGGCCCGTCGACCGAGGGAACCGGCGGTCGTGTCGCTGGCGGCCGCCGGTCCGGCGTCTGGGTACGGCGGGATGGATGTAATATGCTCTGGGTAAACCATGTCCCGCCGTCTCAATAGCTCCGACTGGGTTCCCACCCGGTCCGGGGTAGGGCGCCGGCTGTGAGCGGCAGGAGTTTTTACGTGCGGGTGGGGATCCGGCGATTTTCTCCTGTGGAAAAAAAAAAGCGGATGATGAAGGTCATCGCTATCCTGCAGCTGCTCAAGTGCTGCGCAAGTCCATATTCGTCGATGATATTTTCACTGGTTACGATTCTGTAGTAAAGGCTCAAGCTCTCCAAAACGACTTGATTAACTTACTAGCCTTAGGTGGTTTTCAGCTCAGTAAATCGACCTCAAGCTGCCCTCAGCTTCTCGAAAGATTTTTCGATGATCAGTGTGACATGCCCAGGGACTTTGATATTAGCCCAGACTCCAACTCCATAAAAGTATTAGGTATACAGTGGATTCCTCAATCGGATGAGCTATCTTATCGTATTTCTCTCTCCTCAATAAAACAAATTCCCAAACGCTCAATCCTCAGCACAGTCGCCACTCTTTATGACCCTAACGGTTGGGTTACTCCTGTTATCTTCCGCACAAAGTTTCTCCTACAAAAGCTGTGGCTTCTAAAGTTGGAATGGGACGAACCCACCCCTGTTGAAGTGCAGACAGAATAGAACCGCTTATCACAAGATCTACCCCAATTATCAACCCTTCGTTTGTCTCGCCATATTTGTACAAACAAACTTAAGTCTACTTACTCGCTTCACGGGTTCGCAGACGCCAGAGGCAGGTTTTGCTGCCGTTATTTATCTCCATGAACTCGATGAGCACAGATGTGTCAACGTATACCTCGTGACTGCTAAATCACGAGTCACACCCAATAAAAATCGTCTTACCATCCCCAAGATGGAGTTATCTGCTGCAAGTCTCTTAACACAGCTTGTAATACGTGTCTCGACTCAGTTGTTTTCCCATATCACCATAAAACAACACATATGCTAGTCAGACAGTACTATAGTCCTAGCATGGCTAAACACACCTCCTCGTAGACTTCAGGTCTTTGAAGCTAACAGGGTTGTCAAGATAACATCCAATCCAATCACCTCCACATGGAAACATGTTCCTACAAACCTGAACCCTGCAGACTATGCGAGCAGGGGAATGTCTGCCCAGTCACTATCAGCTTATGATCTTTGTTGGGCTCCTAGCTGGCTGAAAGAGCCTCCTGTCACCTGGCCCAAAATGCCTCCTGCTGTAGGCCACCATGCATTACCAGGTCTGAAGCCCAAGAAAGTACCAGTTCATATAGCAGTTCCTGACCTCGACCTTGACTTGCTTACTCGACTCAGTTCTCTCGACAAGCTCGTTGGAGTGACAGCTGCATAAAACGCTTTATTTTCAATTGTAGACACAACTTAACTGATAGGCGCTCTGGTCCCTTGACAGTTGGAGAACGTAGAGATGCTCTGTTATTCTGGGTTCGTTCTGTTCAGCACAATTAGTTTGCGGAAGATATTTACCGTCTTCAGGCAGGCAAGATTTATGCCGTTCGACTTCAGCGTCTTTCACCCTTGATGAAAGATGATTTCTTGAGAGTTGGTGGTCGCCTCACTCATGCGCCAATAAGATACGATGCTTAGCATCCTCTCGTTCTGCCCAGCTCTAGCCCACTAACTGATCTCATCATAGACCACTATCACAGAATAAACTTATCCTGGGGCTGACACATTACACGCTATTCTCCGTCAGCAGTTCGTGGATACTCTCAGCACGTCGTGTCATCAGGCATCGCGTGTACAAATGCATTAGATATTTTCGATATCGCGCTCAGGCCAGAGCTCCGTTGATGGCTGATTTGCCCGCAGACAGGGTCACACCCCAGCCAGTATTTAGTCAGGTCTCTACAGATTTTGCTGGCCCGTTTCTCATTAAATCTAGTACTTTACGTAACGCCAAACTCATGAAGGCATACTTTTGTATCTTCGTTTGTTTATCTACCAAGGCGGTTCACTTGGAACTCGTTTCCTCACTCAGCACTGAAGCGTTTCTTGCTGCAATGCAACGGTTTGTGTCGCGTTGCGGTACTCCTACTCTTATCCGTTCTGACTGTGGCACAAATTATGTAGGAGCTATTCTTAGCTCATTGAGGTACAAGATTTACTCGCGCAAAATAATGACACAATCACGCATAGGCTCGCTAATCAGCACATACCTTGGCTGCTCCAACCACCCACGGGACCCTGTTTCGGGGGCCTTCACGAAATTGTGGTCAAGAGCACTAAGAATTTACTTTATCATGTTATAGGTGAACAGCACCTCACGTTTGAAGAATTTTCCACACTTTTAACTCTAGTCGAGGCAGTACTTAATTCTAGACCTCTCTGCCCACTTTCGTCAGATCTCTCCGATTTTGAGCCACTAACAGCTGGCCACTTTCTTATTGGCCGTCCACTCATCGCTCTCCCTGAGCCATCTTTTGATGATAGGCCATTATTAGCTCTTAAGCGTTTTCAGCTCATCCAAGCTCTCTCTCAGCGTTTTTGGACTCTGTGGACCAAATCCTACCTCCATACCCTCCAAACCCGCTCCAAATGGCTTTCCACATCCTCACCTCCTCAAGTTGAAGAGATCGTCCTCATCAAAGAGGACAATCAGCCCCCGCTGCAGTGAAAACTTGGAAGGATTATCCACACGTTACCCGGCAAGGATGGCATCAGAGTCGTGGATCTGGACACGAGCCATGGAAGTCTGCGGAGACCTGTGTTCAAGTTAGCCAGGCTGCCGTTGGATTCAGCACATGAAGAAGTTCAGCCCCGGCCTGCCCAGGATGTTCGCGCCACAGCGCGACGTTCGTAAATGTTCGGCTCGACTCGGGTACCGTCGCCCGTCCGCACCCCGTACCTCTCATAGCTTCGCAGTGTATGAACGGCACGCGGATATACGCTCGTTCGATATTGAGTAAATTGTGCGCGCGCGCCTTTCGTTACTAAGTAAAAAGTTGAGTGTGAACCGGTGTAAAGGTGTATGTGCCACCTATCGCAGAGGAACAATACTACGACCGTGGTAGTGCCAGCATCGGCCTCCAAGTAAGTCCCGCTTTCCTACCTCCCCTTTCGTGTCCGCTCATCCGTCCGCCGAGTTCATTTGCTTTCTTTCAGCTCATCAGCTCACGTTTGAGGTGACGCTCGCCTGCGTCAACAACTACATTATTAACATAAGTGAATAACAAAGTTATGACGTGATTCAGAAAACCTTTTTTTTTCCTACCTAAGCTGATAGCCTTAGGGGCTATTTCAGCGTAACCCTAACGTTTGTAGGTGAGCTCACGGGGCTCAAACCTGATGACGTTGCTAACACAAACCCTAGCAAGAGCCGTGCTTCGCAGAATCTACCACCGGATCGGAAACGCGACCCACTGAGAAGATCCGGCGAGAAACTCAGTGGGCTGTGTCTGAGAGTTAATTAACTCGTCGAGCCCTTCGTCGCAAGCGACGGGTTCGACGAGAACGGTGACCGGTGCTTGAAGTACCTAAAAGCACCGTTAGTGGATCGGGAGGATCCGAGATGACGTGTTTTGGGCGACGTCGACTGCTTTCCATTCTGTCCGCAGGATCGGGAATGTAGGAAANAAGATCCGGCGAGAAACTCAGTGGGCTGTGTCTGAGAGTTAATTAACTCGTCGAGCCCTTCGTCGCAAGCGACGGGTTCGACGAGAACGGTGACCGGTGCTTGAAGTACCTAAAAGCACCGTTAGTGGATCGGGAGGATCCGAGATGACGTGTTTTGGGCGACGTCGACTGCTTTCCATTCTGTCCGCAGGATCGGGAATGTCAGAAAACCACTATCGCCATCTAGCTAGTACTACTATGAGTGCACATAGTTTTTTAAAACTTTAAATTCAGCATAACATTACGGTTTTCTTTAGATATGTAGCGATTTTCAAATATCTCGGAAACGAAAGTAAAAAATAGATTGAAACTTAAGCAACAGTTTTTGCACGAAGTACGTATAACAGCGTTCACTATCATTTAATTTATAGATTAATTGAACAATTAAGATAGGCTAAAAAGTCGATAACCCAAAGGTCAAATAAAAATTTAAATAAAGTTCTAAAATTCACGATTTTTATTTACAGCCCTAAATGTATGTATTATTATGTATGTATGTACACTAAAACATTAATTACGTAGACGAAACTTGATTACCTAAACACAGTAATAACATAATTTAACAATGGATAATTTAACTCATATTATGAAGGGTTGTATGAGATATTTAAAGGTAGGTAAGGATTTTTATTTGTTTACAAACATACCTACATACAATATCGTGAGGGCGAAACTCATGGATTGAGATAGTCACGATCCTCAGATATGAGGAGCACAATTGAAGAAGAAGGAATTTCATTAATAATAAAAACAAGAGTGCATAAAAATAGCAATGATATTTATCTTTTAACTTAAATGTAATAACAATTCTACTCAGACAAAACGAATGTGATAACGTTAGGTATGTTTATTATAACATGTCCAAGTGATATATTAATTAAATTGAAATATGTGAATTTATAAAAAAGAAATATAATAATTTTCCCCAGCCGCGTTGTTTTAATAGATAAATTTAATTGAATACTCATACTCGGGTATGTAATTTCAAACTTAATTGTACACAGATAGATAAATGTGAATTTAATGTTTTTTTTTTTGTTACAGACCGTCTTAGAGTCAGGGAGTGTGGGGAACGCATCATCCTCTGATGAAGAGCTGGAACAGTGGGAACAAATATTCATGATGAGAGATGAAAATGGAAACAGCTATAATGACAAGTAAGTTTTAATTAATGATTGATGTTGATACTAAAACGAGTCACGTTGACTATAGTCATGTTATTGATGGATATTAATATAATTAAGTAAACTTGGAATATTAATGAATTTCAATTTATTTGAATTGCTTTTGAAAATAAATAACATTACTCACCATAAGTAGTCGCCACCATTCATGGAGAGGAGCAATGACAGGCCACATCTAGACCTCTATTTAAACGAAGTGTCTAAACTTTAAAAATAAATACTATAGGCTAGCTGCACTCTGGGTAGTGATAAAAGAATTGGAAATGCTACATAGAGTACTCTGAAGAACTGTTTAACACTGCAACTGTATTATTGTTCATTTACCCTGCCTAGAACTATAGCTTTCATTCATAATGCACTTCCAGAATATATTTTTTTCACATACTGTTTCACTTTGTAGTGATCGTTATGGTTTTTATTCTGCTTAATGACATTTAAATGAGGTTTGAGGAGTCTACTGAAGTCCATGAGCAATGGTGAACACTCATCCTCACTCACAGGCATACGCAGGCCAGGCCCTATAATGCAAAGACAAGAAAAGGAACTACAGAAAACCAATTTTCTATAATTTCCTATGATCCTGGAAGAATTATCACAGTAATACTTCATACAACTGTAATCTATGTTTTCTAATATAACTATACTAATTATGTATTATTATTCAAACAGGAGGAGAAAACGGAGTATATGGTGCAGACCATCCTGCATACCCGTCTCAATAGTTATTATTTTAATAGTTTTGGTTGTCCTCGTTCCCTTGTTGGACCAACAGAACGCCATGCATTTGAACACCGCAAATGCACCGGTTAGTTTGCATTGCTCAGATGAGTGTAGGTAAGTGAGATAAAAACAACAGTCTTGTAGTGCTTAAGTATATTTACTAGAAAATGAAAATAACAGTGCATATTTACAGTGCAATAAGCTGGCAAATGTGAGCATCTGTGAACATAATTTATGTTATTTAAAGGTCGTATACATAAATGTTTACATAAAGATAATAATAATCTAACCGTATCCAAATACAATTATAATAAAATAAGCTCCTATGGCTCCTAATATTTCATTCATTTATCTATAACCACATTTTGTATCTTAACACGACATGTAAAAATTTAAACGTCGACACTTCGTACGTAGCGAGTAGCTGTTAAAGAACAATATTTATTGATACTTGCCTGAACGACTCGCTACAATCTCGCTAACGACATTTTCATGATAATCTTACATTAGACTATGACCTCAGATGATGCTCGGTTTTTTTTTTGTTGTTGTTGATAAATTGTGTTTTTTATTACATAATTACATTTAAATACGAATTACATATTGATAAAATGATGAAATATTCCAAGATCGCTCAGGCATTTTTAAGTGAACACGTGAGTTAAAAAACACAAATAATATAAATAAACATATTTTTTAATATTATTGCTTACATGGTTGGACGAGCTCACAGCCCACCTGGTGTTAAGTGGTTACTACTACTACTGGTGGTAGCCCATAGACATCCACAGCGTAAATGCGCCACCCTTGACATATAAGTTCTAAGCTTTCAAGTATAGTTACAACGACTGCCCCACCCTTCAAACCGAAACGCATTACTGCTTCACGGCAGTAATAGGCAGGATGGTGGTACCTACCCGCGCGGACTCGCAAGAGGTCCTACCATCAGTAATTACGCAAATAATAATTTTGCGGGTTTGATTTTTATTACACGATGTTATTCCTTCATCGTGGAAGTCAATCGTGAACATTTTTTGAATACGTATTTCATAGAAAAATTGGTACCCGCCTGAGATTCGAACACCGGTGCATCGCTCAACACGAATGCACCGGACGTCTTATCCTTAGGCCACGACGACTTCAAATTTTTTTTGGTCTACGAGGGCTGCACTATAAGTATCGGGAATGGAATATTTCCACTGTTCCTGTCATATTAAAATCTTTTTAATTGAAAACTCCTTGGTTTTAAAAATCGAATACCATTTATTTATTTAAAAAAAGATTCTCGGTCTTGTCACGAGGTTTTGTCAAACTTGTTTAGTCGTTGAGAAAATGGAATTGGCTCGAGAAAATTCAAGAGCGATGATTTATTATGACTTTCGAAGTGGTTTAACACAAAAACAGTGTGTTGACCGGATGATTTCTGCATTTGGTGATGAAGCCCCATCCAAAACCACAATTTATCGCTGGTTTGCTGAGTTTCAACGTGGACGTGTCAAGCTCAGTGATGATCCCCGTCAAGGTCGTCCAAAAACTGCAGTCACCCAAGAAAACGTTGATGCTGTGCGTAAGCTGATTGAGGAAGATCGACATGTGACATACCGCGAAATTCAGGCAACTTTAGACATTGGCATGAGTCGAATACAAATAATCTTGCATGAACAATTAGGTGTAAAAAAGTTGTTTTCCCGATGGATACCGCATTCGCTCTGTGAAGAGCAAAAAGCGGCTCGCGTTACTTGGTGCGTCAGAACTCTCGAAAGATTCCACGCAGGATCCTCAAATGCTGTATACAACATTGTATCAGGTGACGAATCCTGGATATACCCGTACGAATCCGAAACAAAAAACCAGTCACGAGTTTGGGTGTTCGAAAATGAGTTAAAGCCAACAAAAGTTGTTCGTTCACGGAGTGTTGCAAAAAAAATGGTGGCCACGTTTGTCTCCAAAACCGGCCATGTTACGACTATTCCTCTTGAGGGACAAAGAACGGTTATTGCAGAAAGGTATTGGCTCTGCCCCTGGCATTGCTGAAGTCCATGGGCGACAGTAACCACTCACCATCAGGTGGGCCGTATGCTCGTCTGCCTACAAAGGCAATAAAAAAAAATAAAAAAAATGCTAGCATTTGTTTGCCACAGGTCGTTTCTGAACTCCATAAAGAGAACTGCAACCGCCGCATCATCCTCCATCACGACAATGCGAGTTCTCACACCGCGCACAGAACAAAAGAGTTTTTAGAGCAAGAAAACAGAATTATTAGACCATCCGCCGTACAGCCCCGACCTAAGCCCTAATGATTTCTATACTTTCCCTAAAATAAAGAATAAATTGCGTGGACAGAGATTTTCATCACCT